AAAGCCAGGAGAAACTTTGTACGTAGGCTTACCCCGCCTAACGGATAACCTAGTATTGGTTCCCGGCACCTTGGCTTTAAGGTTTGACCTAGTAATACAGCCAGATACCGCAGACGCGCGTCATGTCGTCAATAACGTAGGCAGGAACTTGGTTTCTAAGATGCGGGTTAAGTTCGCCGGGGAATCCCTTTTGGACTTGAACAGGTACGATCTGTACACCACGTACAAGGACTTATGGTTGACTGCGTTTGACCGCGCGCAAAGGACAGAACAAGGAATCGCCAGCGCAGCCATACGCAGGGTAAGAAGCGCAGCCTCTGGCGCCTCAGGAGAAGACGAGATAAAGACGGTATACGGTACTAAATATGTTATCCCGCTGAACTTCGAAGTTATCACGAACCACGGCGCATACTACCCAAGGCAGTTAAGTGAGTTGCAGTTTTAAGTAACACTAGCAGATACTACGAACATCCTGCAAGGAAAGGACGTAAGTTCAGCAGCCGTGGACCCTTATTCTATTACCAACCTGGAGCTGCAGTGCGAGACGGTATACAGCGAAGAGCTGGCCCGTAGCGCGGGTGCGGAATACAGTGCAGGGAAGGCATTCCTATACGACCACGTGGTGGTGTACAAGACGTTCAGCTTTACGAACAACGTCGAAGAGGTCATCAACCAAAGCATTAATATACCACGACGCAGCCTTACAGGGTTAATGTTGCTGTTCGCGAAGACATACACCGCAGGATTGCGTGACTCCGGGACATTGTTTAATCCTAACATTACCAACGTAGGTGTTAGTATTAACGGAGTACCTAACAAGGTCTACTCCCAAGTGATAAAGCCCGCGGATATGTACCGGGAAGTCGCACGCAAGTTTGGCGACCAGATTGCCCCAAAGGAGTTCTTCGCGGATAAGTATGCGCTGTGGATTGACATGCGCACCACCAACGATGAATCCATGCACGGTCAGGGTCTGCGGTTGGTCAACACCCAGGACGGCATCACTTTGGAAATCAAGCGCACCAAACATGCCAGCGACACTACTAAGATAAACTGCTACGTCTTCGTTGTGTCTGACGCGCAGCTAAGCGTAGACATGAACCAATTAAAAAGCGTTGCATATTGATTCGTGCTCACTCATCCTAAATATAAAATATTTACCTAATATACCATGTTGCGAAACTTCTGCAAAGACAACACTGCAATGCATAGTGCAAGGCGACAAATTATACTTTAAAGCGAAGGAGGTGGCTGCTGCGTTAAATTACGAGAACACCAAGAAGGCTATTAGAGACCACGTTTCTGAAAAGTATCAGAAAAGATGGGTTGATCTGCAAGGGTCCCCAAATCGTTCCCCTTCTACTATCCACCCACATTCCGTGTACATTTCCGAACCTGGCCTTTACGAGTTGATATTCAGCTCTAAGTTACCCAAAGCGATAGAGTTTCGCGATTGGGTATTCGAAGATGTCTTACCGGCACTACGCAAAACGGGCAAATACATGGTGGAAAAGCGTTTCGATGGTCCAAACAAGTTGGTGTTTAAAATTGAAAATGAATTCCACCTACATAAGAAAGTCGTAGACTACATCCGTAAGTATTACCCCCAAATGCTCGTGACCCCTGGTCTCGGTGAACTGCAGGACTCCGACGGTAAACGCATAAAGTGCTGGCAGAAAGGATATCAACGCGGTCAACCCGACTTGTTAATCCTTAATGCACACGTGCGATACCGTGGTTTCTGCGTCGAGCTGAAGACTCCCAAAGGCATCGGGGTATTATCTGAGGATCAACGTCGCCTGTTGAACAGCTATAAGCAAAATAGTTACAAAGTAATGATCAGCAACGACTACGATGATATTTGCAGGAGTATCACGGAGTATGCACAAGGAATGCGTTTACCATGTGCATACTGCTGCAAGCGCTTTAAAAGCACGCAGACTCTAAGGACGCATTTTAAGATATTCCATAGAATATATAATTGATAAGGACAAATTCAATGAGTTAAAGTTCATACAAACGCACTGGAGGGAGCTGACGGTAGGGGAAATTTACGAGATAAAGAATTACGTGGCCTTTGAAGACATCGACCGTCTGCGTTTGGTCTTAAAGAATAAAAAGAGAATATACACCCTTTGGGCTCCTGATAGGATAAGGTACGCCATYGAAGGGCAGGATGTTACCCATGTTATGAGCCATGGTAAAAAGGATGGTAGGTAGGTATTTGACGTAGTTAAGTGGTTGACAAAGGCTTCCTTTAAGAAAGTACTGCCGCAATGAAGGCAGTCGTATCTTTTTTTGTCCGTAAATTTGACTTGCTTAAGTGGGCATATGATGCATTCTGCAGGTGGTTCGCACGTAGTACAGTCCATATATACTCAAGGAGATTAGAAGTCCCCCAAGAAATGCCATTACGTGTGCTAACATATATTTAGGGGGGTGGTATACGAGGCTATATAATGAAGTGCAAAGAATGCAGTAGGAGTTTCAGCAGTAGGCAGATGCTTAATTACCATATTTCCCACAAAGTATGCACAAAAGAAAGACCCAGCCTTGTCTGCAAACACTGCCGTAAGAAATTCAGCAGTAAGCAGATGCTGGACTACCACACTTCCCATCAAGTATGTCAGAAGCACTTGAGAGGGGATTGTTAAATGTTGGTTGTTTGTTGTTAAGATGTTAGGGAGGGCTCAAATACCCAATGTTAAATGTTAGATGATTGTTTGTTATTTGTTAAGATCCAAGGATAAGAACTGTTAATTTTTTTTCGACTCCTTTTCCTACCTTTAACAAGTATTTAACCAACGACCAACAATTAACATTCCCCTTTTGAGACACTTTGTGGGATTTAACAACAAACAACCAACATTTAACAAACCCTAACGTCCATCATTTCGATTCCGAGGCAGTTAGGAATGTGCTCCTCTTCTCTTACGCTTCCACATTTTTTGCACTCCTGCCTCCAATATTCCCTGTTAGTCCAGGGGACACCTTCAGCAGAGTCAAAGAATGGAAAGGTTTTATGTATCTTCCTTCGATAACGTATTCGATCTTCTATGTATTCATCTTTATGTTCGCAACGGCTCATAAGATCCCCGCATTCGTAGCAATCCACTCCTTCTAAATCGTATTTCTTTGCCATCCTTTGGTATTGCTTCTTATGTATCTCCTCATGTGTTTGCAGGCGCTGATGCGTACTACGAATCTTACCACAGTCTTTGCATTTCGTGGTAATAACTTCCTTGCGACAAACGCCTTTCTTTACATGATACTGCAGCTTTTGCCTGCTGCTAAACTCCCTATCGCAGTCTCTGGAGGTCGTAGTTTTTGCCTTTGCACAAACGCCATTGCTGACGTGGTATTGCAGCCTTTGCTTACTACTAAACGCTTTGTTACAATCGGGACACTCCATATATCCTAACAATATTTTAACCTTCGTTTAACAACCTACAACCATTCCAAATGGCCTTGCAGTTCTCAAAAGGTTTCAAATTCTTGTCCGCAGCCTTTACAAACGTAATCCATATACTTACATGGGATACCTTATGAAGTCCGCAACTGACCCACAGCGCCATCGTTACCAAAGCCCCAAATCTCTCAGAGCGCTTCAGAACACACATTTCCTCATACAATTCCTTTACGCGTCCATTCAGCCGCTCTATTTCCTCCCTTTGCATCTCTACTGTTCTTTCCAGGTCTGACTTCCTTTTGCCAATATTAACCATCTCCTTAACTGCTTCCACGGGTTCCATATATATGAACCCAGATCACATACCTTGTAATGCGCTAATAGTAGGACCTACCGGCTGCGGAAAAACCCAGTTCGTAGTATAGCAGCTGCTAGGACCCTTTAGATACCCATTTGACTATATCGTTCTCCTTTGCCCCACCTACGTGAACAACAAAACCTGGACGGGTGTAGGCGTAAAAGACGACGACTTCTTCGTGGACATATTGGACCCCAATGAGTTATCTGGACATCTTAAGTTTTCGCATAGACAATTCCCTAAGGAAACGCAAACTTTACTCATACTGGATGACATTGGCTGTGGGGACGACGTAAAAAGACACACGTCGGAATTAGTAAAGCTTGCTTTCAGCGGTAGACACGACAATATCAGCGTTTGGTTACTCTCGCAGCAGCTTACCAGCGTTTCTAAGCCTTTTAGGGAAAACATAGGCTCCCTGGTTGTCTTCTACACGCCCAGTAAAAGCGATCTGGAAACCATCTTAAGTGACTATGGCGGCGAGATAAGCATGGAAAAGTTGCATGAATACATGCGGCACCTAAAAACGCACCAACATTCCAAAATGATCTTCTCTTTGAGGTTTCCGTATTCCATAAAGATCTCCGATCTTTAACTCTTTGATTTTTAATATATAACGGAGATTGAGCAGCTCATAGATGAAGTCCCCACACAGCTAGATGAAAGTAACCTTAAGGAACAACTTAACATCCTTGTGTCATCTGGGAAGTGCAAAGAAATGATAGGCAAGGAACTTACCCATGAGCAGGTTAATAGGTTGTCAGAAGAGGAAGTTAAGAAGTTCCATAAGAGGTACGAGGTTGCCCTTGCAAGTAAGACTACCGATGCCGTAGCAGACTCCGCTACTAAGTTGTCAACTAAATTGCTTGGACTTGCACTGCCCATAGACGACGTGGAGCAACTACAGAAGGACATAAGAGACGACTATGTCATATCCCAAGAACTTAAGATAACCTGTGGGTGGTTGTCTTTGAAGTGCGGTAAGTTAATGGCAGTTGCCTCTGCGGCTCTTCACTTAGCTCAGCATGTCGACTTGAAGGAGGTACTAGGTTCCTTTGGAACATCTTGGAAGAACTTTAAGAAGGACAGAGAAGTCGAAAGGGTACTAACTGCCGCACTTGCCGAGGTACCTGATCAAGTCACCCCAAGTACTTAGTCAAGTCATTCTCAAGTCCTTCTTAAGTACTTACCCAGGTCGCGCCCAGGTTATTTTCAAGTCCTCTTTAAGTTACCTGTCAAGTACTTATCAAGTCCTTCAAGTCCTTAGTATAAATGAGTGAAGCACCAAAGACAGAGGAGCAGCCCCAAGAGGAGCAGAAGATTACCAAAACTAAATCTCCAGGCAGAGTCGCTGCAGGCAAGAAGCTCGCCGAGATGAACAGAAAGAACAAAGCAAAAAAGGAGGAAAAAGAGGAGGACGAAGGCGAATCTTTTATCAACCCGGGCTACGTAATTGGCGTCTTAGGAGTCGTTTTGGCCTCAGGCAGCCTCTACTTTCAATGGCAAGCTGCGAAACCAAAGGTAGAACCCGTACATGTGACGCAGGAGCCTCCTAAGAGAAGCAGAATACCCGAAATGGAATAACCTTCTCACTTTGTAATATATTGTCCTCTGCATTGATGAAAACTGTTTAAGAAGCAGCTATCATTACTTCTATTGTCGCAGGTATTGGTAGGGTAGGTAAGAAGGCACTCAAGGAAGACCTAACCGAAGATCCGAGCAAAAGCCTGATGGGCTACGTCAAGATGACCGGCGTAGTAGCGGGCAGCATCGCCCTTAAGGACTATCTGCAGAAGGAAAAGTACATTCCTAACATATAAATGGCTACCTTGGTCGTAGGCGGAGTTATCGCAGCTTTAGCATTTACTGGAGCTAGTTATGGTGGTCAGTATATGGATAGATTAGTCAGAGGCGATCACAGCGGAGATTTAGCCGCCAAAAGAAATAGACACGACTTAGCGCTGGAAAAGTATCAAAGGGACGTGGCAGCTTGGAATGAAAAAAGACAAGCTTACAGGGATTGGTTGGGCAAGAACTACCAAGACAAAATGCAGGCGGATAAGAACTTTGAAAATACAGACTACGCCTTTAAACTTTATGCACAGACGCATCCGGAGGTTAGGCTAAGGAAGCCCCAGTTTAAGAATTACTACCAGCCTTCTAAGAAACAAAAAGACAATGAGCTGGTATTTGTTGGTATCGCAGGGCTGGCCGGAGGCGCAGCTTTGGCGTATCTAATATAATGATCGTCTTTTTGGAAAGCGACAAGAATAACTTTACCACTTATTTAAATCCCCCCATCAAAACCCATAAGGTTCGGCTCATAAGTTGCTCTTTGTGCAATTCTTGGTATAACTTGATCAATGGTGTGGTCACTGAGCATACAGGAGGATCTAACTATCAAGCCGTAATGCTGCCCAATGGACATTACATCCCAATAACCCTGGCCAAGGAATTATCAAAGCACGGTCATACTCTTACCACAGGATTACCGCACGAAATGACTATCAAGCATAATATGTCAAATTATTCAGTAACTTTTGGAAAGTTTGACGCATTGGGGTCTTTATTATGTGCCTCGGGCAAGACGATTACCAACACGGCCATACCTGTGAAATGGAAAGTCGCATCCTCTTATGAAGTCTATTCCGATTTGGTTCATAGTTACAGCAATGGAAAAAAGTTTTCTCTTATGTCCAAGTTTCCACCCAAAGGTAATCCATTTGACCTGGTAGAATACGCGCCCATTTCTTTGAGCTATGATTTGTCTCGCGAATTGGTAGAAAGCATAAACGTCCAAGATGGACGGAGAGACGGTGGATTTCAACGGGCGAAAGATCAATCTCGTCTTATCCTTCACTTGAATCAAGCGATACGAGATTCTATTCATTTAATGCCCCGCGTAGAGGACAAGCTCAAAAGGATTTACTATGGGCCTGAAGGCTATTGGAGAGGAGCGTCAGCTATCAAGAAACTTGCAGCCGCGGCCAGGGTATCAGAAGAAACGTCTAAGAACTGGCTAAGAAAACAAACCCTCTGGCAGGTTTATCTTCCCGTGCCCAAGTACATTCCCAGGCCCAGTTTCACCGTAAATGCCCCCAATGAAGTTCATCAGGCGGATTTGCTTTTCTTGCCGCACGACAAGGTGAGAAGAAGGACCTATAGATACGCTTTGACCGTAACTGATATCGCAAGCAGATACAAGAACGCCGAACCCATAACCAGCAAGGATTCTGGGGAACTCGCAGAATCCCTAGGTAGGATTTATACGCGCGTCTTGAAATGGCCCAAGCTGCTGCAAGTGGATGCGGGAACAGAGTTCATGCGCGTGGTTACCAAGACCCTGAAAGACCTCAGCACCAAAATTAGAAGAGCCGAAGCAGAGTACCACAGGGGTCAGAGCTTCGTCGAAAGATTCAATAAGACCCTGGCCGAGCGTCTCTTTGGGTACCAGTATTGGAAAGAGCTGTAAGATCCCTCCAAACGCAACAGTGAATGGACTCAGAGGCTCCCCCAGGTCGTCGCGGCTTTGAACAACGAGGAGTCCAGGGCTACGGGAATGAAACCCAAGGATGCCATGAAGAAGAAACACGTGGAACAAAAGTCCTACGTCAGAAGTTCAAGGGCGGTTGGACTGAAGGAAAAAAAGCTCCCCCGCGACATAGTGGTCAGATACCTCTATCAGCCGAGGGAACTCGAAGGTGGCAGTAAGAGAGCCACGGATCCTAACTGGTCTCTGGAAACACATGAGATTTCGAAATCCGTCACCAAGGAAGGGCAACCTGTGTTGTATTACGTAAATGGCCCAAGTCGTGGATTCGTCAAGGAAGAGCTGCTCATAGTCCCCAAAGACTCAGAGTAGTGCTGCTCCACGCGCCCGATTGCACTCTAGGCATGTCAGCCTTACGTTGCCTCTACAATGCCCGCGTTTATTATTTATACGATCCACGGAGAACTGCTGATCGTCATTTGGGTCAAACCTCCATAGTAGTGGTATGTTACACTTGGCACACCGTGGCCCTTTCTTATAGACGTCGTCCACACATAGGTCGAACGTCATATCTTTTTCTTCGTCGTGCCGCTTGTAGCGAAGGAGTTTCTTAGCAATGTTTTCTTTGGCTACGTCTTCGGGGGTTCTGTCATAACGCAGTTGCGGCCCCCAGGCTCTTTTTAGTTGTTTGGCGTACTCCACACGACTTACGGCGGTGTGGATAAGGTTGCTCCAACACAGCCGCTGGTCTATGATCCATAAGGTTTCTTTTATGGTAAGCCCTTGCGCGCTGCGGACTGTCATGCAGTAACCTAAGCGCCAGTCTGGATGGGAGGTTATTTTTTCCACCTTTTCTATGGGTACCCAGGCCTTATCGTGCGTTACTGCGTTTCGCAGCATGATGCATGCGGGTGTCGTGGGGTTTGCAAGAGACAGGCACGGGGTGTTTTGGGAAGCGTTCCCAGTGTATTTTAAGGAGGTCTTTTTGTATCCGGGATTGTGCTGCGCGTTTGTTGCTCAGCACTAAGTCCTTTGGGTGCCACTGGTAAAGGAAGTCCTCGTACTTCTTCGCTCGTATGCGTTTGCGAAGTATTTTGCATTGGTCGGCGTCGCTAAGCCCTCTTAGTTCTACTTTTAAAACCCTTACTTCGTCTTTGCTGCGGTAGTCTGCGTTTATTTCTTCTACGTGATCTGCTAATTTTTTTAGCCATTCGTGGGGCATTTCTCCGGCTATAGGAGGAGGCTGGCAGGGATCCCCGGCGAATATTACCTGGCATTTCCCTTTTAGGAACTCTACGAATTCTTGCAGGATTTCTAAGGGAACCGTGCAAATCTCGTCCCAAAGTATCACCGGAGGGATGTCGTGAATAGCTTCCGGTACCCACTTTTGGCCATTCCAGCTGTGGTAGGTTTGCGCATCGTAGCCCATTTCGCGAAGTTCCCTTTCTAAGCGGTGCGTTGGTGTTAGCACTCTTAGGCTTGGGAAGAGATTAACCACGCGGGTCGTCTTACCGCTGCCGCCCGTACCGTAGAGGTAAGAGAAGCGTTTGTAAGAAATGGGGTCGGCAACCGAGGGAAGTGGTTCCTTAGTTGGTTCTGCGCGGCCTTTGATATGTTCTCCGTGATATTCTACTCTTTCCCTCGAAGCTTTGATCTCTTCGTCTTTCACGCGCCATTGCCCGCTTTCTGCTATCTCGTCTTCAGTGTAGAATTCCTTTATCTTTTCTAATTTATGCGGCTTGATGTACAAGGAATCCGTAGCTACGCGCGGAACGTCCTCTTTGTCAAACCGTAGGAGCATCGCTAAGAGCTTAATGTGCGCGTATGCGAGCATACTGGCACGCAGATGGTAATACTGCGGACGGTGATCTTGGTAGTAACATAAAGCATTCCATTCGTGTAGTTGATCTTTTACTAGATAGTCCCATTTCTCCACAGACACCATTGTTCCTTGTTCATGGGCGCGCTTGATAAGGAAGCTTAGTTCGCCTTCGTACGTTATTAGGCGTCTTTGCATATGTTTCTCACTCTCCTTAGCACCTTGCGTGAACTTTCCTATGACGATTCTTGCGGTTGGGTTGGCTCCGGTAACCACTTCGTGAAGCTACTGTGGCAAAGTATGGCTTCATGCGCGGTGTATTTTAGCAATTGGCGCTCTTCGAGGAACTATAACAATGGTACGGGTATTCATTCTTTCTCCTGCACATGCTTACCATACCAAGCGTAAATTATGGGGTGTAAGCCCTTTGCTAACTTCCAAGAGGTCAGTCTAGCAAATCCTGTAGCCGGTGCGTCGTAGTGGCCGTCTAACGAAACACGAAAGAACTGAGAGTCTGGGTGTCCGTAGCGGTCGTTATATTCCTTACAATCTCCCAGGCCTTTGAAATGACGCAGGGTAACAATGTTTTATATCTAAGGATACGTATTCTTCCTCGTCGTATCCCATGTTCCATAAGCCGCCATGTCCATGTTCTACGCATGCTTTAGATATTTCTTTGAACTCTTTTGGGGTWGGTTTCCATCCGTTTCTTTTCTTTGCGGCTAAGAAGTCCAAACTGCGACTGCTTAGAACTTCTTCTGAACAGTCTTCTCCTAAAGTCTCGCAGGCACTTTGAATGCGTTGATGTTCTATTTCTGGGCGATATAGAGTACCATCTTGGGTCATAAACTGACTTCCTTCCGGATCCATTAACCAAATAGAATTCTCATGGATTGACTCCACCAATCGAGAACTCTCGTAGACCTTTGTCTCTTTCTTTTAAGGAAATCTTAGTTCTCTCCAAGCATGCGCATTGTGTTGATAAATGACAATAGGAGCACCTCTGCCACCATATTTATGTGTCCCGGGGTAAATGAAACCGTCTGTTATGTCTTTTACCATGATACGCCTTTCTAAGGCAGTTTCTAACTTTTTTGTTTTCTATTGTAGCCCCAGCTTTGTAGGTGGAGTTTTCCCATTTCCTGATGGCTTCTTTTC